TTGTCCGGTGTGAGTATTATAGGAAAACAAGCTTGTCCTAATGGAAGGAAGACCTTCTATTTGACAATCACTAAAACTTTCTTCCTTATGATCATCCATATAAATGAAACAAGAAAGCATTCACCATAATACAAGGTTGCTAGATCTTGCCCTCCTCCAATATGATCTAGAGCTGATATGTTAGACTTGGTGGAATAACGGGGGTTGTTAAAGGTGACAAAATATGGATCAAATTATCATAACAATAAAATCTTTAAGATATGTGGATGGAGGAAATGGAGTATTTTTTAGGATTTGCTTTACTAAAGTATAAATTTCATTTGACACAATTTAGATGTTATACATATTAAGAAAAATATGTTTGATAATGTTTTTAATACAATCATGAACATGCTGAGTAAGACTAAGGACAATGCCAACTCTAGAAAAGACTTGAAACTTTTCTATAAAAGGTCAAAATTATCAAAGGATGATGTGCATAGGAAGTATCCTAAAGCTCGCTTTTACTCTATCTAAACAATAGAAAACAAAATTACTTGAATGGATCAAACAACTAAGGTTTCTCGATTGATATGTGTCCAATCTAGCTAAATGTGTCGACATCCGATATTATAAAGTTTATTAGATGAAAAGTCATGATTGTCACGTCATCATGCGAGAGGTTAGTTCTAATTGCATTTTGGGAGTTTTTAAAATTTTATTTTTTCTTTTGATGTTCGATAGTTTCACTCTGCCTCATAGAGATTATGCCACAAAGATAACCATGACTTTTAGGGAGCGGTTGGATTTTGATGGATCGACGTAGAAGTCTATGTCGGACCTCACTAAACAATTCTACTTCGGTGAATTTAGAATAATGTATTATTAATTTTTTATAATTAAAATGAAATTTTTTCATTAAATAGAGTTTTTAATATTAATTTTTTTACTTGTGCATAAATATTTTAATTAGGATTCGGCCATCGAGGCACTCGTCAAGGAAGCATGAGAGGCTCTTACTAGAAAACGATACACTAACTTCGTCTACAAGTGTAGTTTACTAACCGAACGATATGTTTTTATAAATAAGATGTCTAGGATGCATGGAAACAAGATTTTGTGAAACCCGATTGCATGGCTCGTTTAGAGAAAGCATCGTAGAGCCGATTGTTAGAGACCGATGGCCTTGGTATGGGTCCTTTCAGGCATACATGAGGCTCCATATCTTCGGAAGACACGTTCGTGGCTTAGTAAATTGCACACTTTTTATTATTAATTATATGTTTCAAAAAAATTAGTTTTTTTTGCTCATATTGTTTGTGATTCATTTTTTTTTTCGAGAGGCAAGATTAGGCCTTGAGTCAACAAGTGTTGAGCTTTTTTAAATGACACATAAGTGGTGAGATGGTTCCTTTATTGATCTATGCTCCCAACAAACAATGGTAAGTGTTTTTCAATTTCAAATTATGTATATGAAAATATAATCTAAAATTTATTTTAATCTTTTAACAATATCATTATTTTGATTATACGAAGCGAGTCGAAGTGCTCATATAGGAAGTTATTGCGATTCAACGAGTGGAAGGAATCTTGGAGCTAGAGGTTGACACGAACGTCGTATACCTCGAGGTCGTGGGGGAGGAAAAAAGAGTATATGGTGTAAGCACACGGATAGTGTATTATCTATCCTAGTCACGTGGAAGTAGCTCATCCTTTGTGTCATCACATTAAGTTAATGACAATGCTAATGAGGAGCTTCAAAGGCGATACGAGAAGATGAAAGACGTGATGAAAGGGATACGAGTCAAACAAGACGAGCTTTAAAACCTTATCACGGAGCGACAGAGTACCATACGTAGGCTTAATTCTCGGTACAAGACGATGGTCTCTATGTTGATCAAGCTAGCACAAATGTTTGAGTTATCTTTAAATCCGTCTACTTGTCGGGACTCCACCATTCCTCCTAATAGCTTCCCGTCCAGACTTCCCACCAAGCCTCCTACCTAGCCCGAGTCCTAAGAGGAGGATAGGGGATTAAACGATCGGGATGACACTCGAGAGTGACAATTCGAGTTTTTTACTTTATTTTTTTTTCATACGTACTACTAAATATTTTTTTTAATATTAATTTATATATAATTTATAATATTTAAATTATATATATTTTTTTCTAATTGTTAATCACTACCTATAATATTATTAATTTAAAAACAAACAAACAAAATTTAAAAAATATTGATGTTTTTTTTCAAATATAATTTATGATTGACTAGCGACGGATTGATGACAAATTTTCATGCCGATGATGATGGATTTGTGATGAATTTCATTGACTTTCAGCAACAGTTTATCGACCTCTATTATTAGCTTCAAATATTAACGATGGCATTTCGATAGTTAAACAATGACGAAACTTGTGATGGAATAACAACACTCGTATATGATGATTTGCGATGACCAATCTAGCAAGTGGGAGGCTTAATTTTTGCGACAAAAATCTCATCGCTATAATAGCGATAGAATGTTTTTTGTCATTGCTAAGTTTAGCAACTAGCGTTTTAGCGACAAACATAATATCCGTCGTTAAGCCGTGGCTATGCAACTTTAGTGATGGAAATTGGCTAATTAGCGATGAAATATTCTATTACTAACTATCTATTTTATTATAGTGATAGTGAGCATGTAAAGAAGATGTAAATTGAGTGGTAAAAACAAAAGGATTTGATTGTCCCAAGAGACCTATTCAAAAAAGTAAAATGCGATGATCTTTTTATAAGGATGGTATGTCTTGAAAAGTAAAATGAGATGATCTTATTATGAAGGACTTGTCTGTTTTAAAAAGTAAAATGTTATGGTCTTGTTGTGCGGGACGACCTATCTAAAAAAGTAAAATATGATGACCTTTTTGTGAAAAGTGGTTTGTCCCGAAAAGCAAAATCAATTTTAGCTTGCATAAAATTACATGTATCAAATATTTTTTTTACCACCTATCACATTTGATAGTTATAAAAATTGGCTTGAAAACCACCTTAGGATCTCATTAAGAAAGTTTGGGGAAACAAAAGCCATTAAAAAATTTAGAGTAGAGAAAACACGTAAAGATAGACTAATGTTTCATCCGAAACCATCCTATAATTATCCCGTGTAAGAATTGTCTTAAGTTTTCTTTCTTTCTCTCTTTCATAGAGTTATAATGCTTTTAGTTATTTTTAAAGTATTATATAAAAACACATCAATATATTTGCAAGGTCTGTTATGTAACTCCAATAATTGCAAATCGATCAGTATATTCCGCACAAGACAAAGCACCGCAGGCTAGCAAGGAAGAAATTATATTAATTCATTATAGTAGGAAGAGGATTATGACGGATTCGGACATAAGAAAAAGTCTCTTATGGGCCGGACAAAACCGATGGCTATTACTGGTGGGTTATAGAGATTCGGAGATGCACGCGTTAACAACTTCAAATGAACACACTAAGATGGCTGAGACGGATTTGACAATTCTTACAAGGAGTTCTGCCAAATTTGTTTGAGAGAAAATCCATCAAGCGGCTCAAGATTTACCGGACCTGATTGTATTTGACCATTCTTCCATGGGCTTGACTTGTTCTTTCTTGTTTTGGAATAACATGGGCTTGTCTTCAGTAAAATATTAAAATTTCCCTTTAGCCTTGACATCCACAAAAGGCCAAGATCTACAGAAGCCGCCCACAAGTGGATAGGAGAAAACAAATAACCTATTGTCCTGTATGCTGCAAAATTTGTCTGCATATGCATGTGCTTGTATAATTATCTGTGATCAGAAAATAATATAAATTATATTTTAAGATTTTATTTAATATCTTAAGTTTTTAGAGAAGATAATCCTTTAATATGATATCGAATTTTGATGATCAAACGGTTATGAGTTCGAATCTTATCACCTCCATTTTCTTTTTTAATTAATTAAACATAAGATAATGTGAACCTAAAAGATTAAGTTAAATGATATCCTAAGACCTTACTTAACAGATTAAGTGTTTATGTTCTCCATAGTAAGTGGTTATTGGCAAATGAGTAATGTATGAATATATCTGCAGTTGACTATCTTTCAGTGGGTTTTACTATTAATGGCTTTGCATATAAGTTCATAGGAAGTGATCTTTAACTGCATTTTTCAGAACGTTCATTAATCTTTTGCAATATTTTTGAACAATCACGGGCCTTGACCAGATGTTCACTGTTCATATGGCTAAATGCGTCCTAAAATGCTTTCAAACATGTCAGTAAGGTAAAGAAACAATATCCTAATCCTTGTTAGGTTGAAGATCTTCTTTAAAAATTATATAGAATGATAAAAACAAGAAAAACACAGCTGTACATCTTTGCTGTAAATGTGAGTCAAAAGTTGTGATCACATATTTTCCATATTCGTCCAATTTTCTAATAAAGAAAAAGATAAAACTCTTTTTAAAATTGTACCTGATAATTTAAATTTTTTAATTGATATAATTCTTTGACAATTTTCAATTATCATGTCAATGTACAAGTCATTCTACGAGCTACTTATTCGCAATTAAATTATTAGAATGCTCGTAGAAGTTGTTGGCATCCATATTATTGCTTCCACACCCAAAACACAACAAGTTGACATTAGTTTTATTGAATGGACATTTTGGGGAACTTTCTCTGCAATGGTGTCTTGTCAAAGTAGTTTGTCCAAGTCAAAGAAATGCTGCTTGGTAGTACAAGCATGAGGTGCCTATAAAAAGACAGTAGCATCGTCATGGTTTTCCATCTTGCATTAAATCTGCTACCTCTCCATACATACTAGCTCACAATTATCTCTCGGATCACAAAAGCAAAAAAGCTTACAATCTCTCTGCCTCATCTATTAACTTACGACACATTCTTTTGTATCCAAACCCAATCTCATTCACACATTAGAGTATATCACAGAATTGCAAGGGGAACTAAGCCCTAAGCATAGTATAATACTAGTAACACCCTCAGTGCCAGGCTTCAACAGTCAGACTGCAATGGGAAGCATTGATGACTTCAGTCGTTATTCTTTTCCAGATGATTTTGTTTTCGGAACTTCCTCTTCGGCTTACCAGGTACATTCTGTAAACGTAAATTAATTTTAGTGCGATGACAATAATTAATACTGTTGTAAATTAATTAAATTTTCATTAATTGTGATATGCAGTATGAAGGCGAATCAAACAAACAAGGTAGAGGACCGGCTATATGGGATACTTTTACTGAGGAACATACAGGTATCTCTCTGATTAATTCTTGTTTTCCTCCCAAAAAAAAAAAAAAAAAAAAAAACGACGACAACAACAATAATAAGAATAATGTTCTGGAAACCTAAGATTGACTTCTAAAATAATATTATTTTCAACATTGCAGAGAGAATAAACGATCATAGCAATGGAAACGTCGCAGTTGATTTCTATCATCGCTACAAGGTATTTATGGAGTTCACGTACCTTGTTTTTCTTCATTCAATATTTTCTTTATTCGATCTTATTAATTATATATAATTGTTCTAAAATAATTCATACGTTCTATAGGAAGATGTGCAAAGAATGAAAGAAATGGGAATGGATGCTTTCAGATTCTCCATTTCTTGGTCTAGAGTATTACCACGTAAGTATTTATATTTTTTAACTTTCATTCTTAATACATATAGTAATGACAGGAATTGAATTTGACAACTATTATCGCTAACATTGGATTGTTTTTTGAATAATTGCAGATGGCAGGTTAAGTGCAGGAGTAAACGAAGAAGGCATCAAATTTTATAATAATCTCATTGATGACCTCATAAAAAATGGTTATAACCTTTTTCCTTCAATTCAAATACTAATATAAACAAATATGCAAATAGATACTTCTAATTTTTTCAATTGTATCGTAATATTTTGCCAACATTAACTGTCACTTGCTTACAGCCATGATTGACACGTTGAGGTTGGTAATTTAGACAAGCCTAAATTTGATGCCAAAATTGTTATAACAATAATAGTATATATATGGTGGTTTTTTAAACAGATAGTTTCTCATGTATGTTCGATCTCTCTAATTATATTATGTTTTCTAATGTGTAGGTCTGCAGCCTTATGTTACTCTCTTTCACTGGGATACTCCTCAAGCTTTAGAAGATAAATATGGTGGTTTTTTAAGTACTAACATTGTGTAAGTAGCAACCTCCTTCCATTAATTATGCTTCTCAATAATCCAAACTTCTTGTAGCATCAAAATATCATCAACTTATCTACTAAAAATATTGACATAGCTTATCTCAATACTTATCTATTATTTTGCAGGAATGATTTTCGTGACTTTGTGGACCTTTGCTTCCAAAATTTTGGTGACCGAGTGAAGAATTGGATCACTTTAAACGAGCCATGGATGTTCAGTGTCCAAGGTTATGACATGGGCACCATGGCGCCCGGTAGAATTTCTACTATCGTGAATGATCCTCACCAATCCAAAAACACTGGTGCCACTGAAGTTTATACAGTCGGGCATCATTTATTGCTTGCTCACGCAGCGGCAGTAAAAGTATACAAGGAAAAATATCAGGCATGTCAAGGCGGAAAGATTGGAATAACACTTGTTTCTCATTGGTTTGAGCCTTACTCAAATAGTGAAGCTGATCAGATTGCAACCAAAAGAAGCCTTGACTTCATGCTTGGGTGGTTAGTATTTAATATATTTAATTCAAAATTACTTGATAAATTATTAATTCCTTTGAAGGCAGTTAGACATTCATATTTTGTAGTGAATAAATTAACAAAAATAAAAAATAAAAAATAAAAATACTTTCACACATTTGTTTTCCAGGTTCATGGATCCTGTAATGAATGGTGATTATCCACGCAACATGCACGATTTTGTTGGAGGAAGATTGCCAAATTTCACTAGCGAGGAATCTAAGATGTTGAAAGGATCTTATGACTTTATTGGAATTAATTACTACACAACATATTATGCTCAAAATACTGATGCTAATTTTCAAAGCGTTGGATTTATGTCAGATGCTCGTGCTAATTGGACAGGTAATGACCTATCTTTTTAATTTGTTCATTCATATTATTTTTTAAAAAAATAAAATAATCTTAATTTTATGAAATTTTCTCAATTTCGAATTCTCTAATTTACTTTGTTATTTTATTTTATAGGAGAGAGAAATGGAATCCCAATAGGTCCACAGGCTGGTGTAAAATGGCTTTATATTTATCCAAAAGGGATTAGTGATCTTTTGAACTACACCAAAGACATATATGGGAATCCCACAATTTACATTACTGAGAATGGTATGGTTGAAATAAAAGATATATCTGATTGTGCAATATTAACTATGCTAAATTTTCATATTCTCAATGCTCTTTTTTAGGAGCAAAGAAGTTCTCAATGTTTCAATATATTGATTTATTCAGGGGTTGATGATGTAAACAACAATGCTTCATCGCTGAAGGAAGCTCTCAATGACCCTATAAGAGAAAAATCTTACAAAGACCATCTTAAGTTTGTTTTAAGATCCATCAAGTGAGTTTACTTTCTTTTCGTTATCTATAACAAAAGATTATTATTGCAAATTTCTTTCTCTGTATGTAATAATAAATATATTGTCAAGTTACCAAATCCATCTAATTGGGAATAAATTATTGCAGTGAGCATGGTGTTGATGTTAAGGGTTTCTTTGCCTGGTCATTTATGGACAACTTTGAATGGGGAAGTGGTTATGCTGTTAGGTTTGGTCTCTACTACGTAGATTATAAAAATGGCTTGAAACGATATCCCAAAAACTCTGTCAAATGGTTCAAGCGATTCCTAAGAAAGGACTCTGATCATTGTCCTGTTCAACGTATTTGTCCTTTGATTACTTCTAATGGAAAACAGAAAATTGAAGATGGGTTGGTTCGGGATGCTAAAAGGCCAAGAACTGGTTGAAGACAAAGACGTTAGCGCGAGTCTGCAAATTCGGCTTCCATGGTTGAAAGATATCTTCGTTTGTTTTGTTTTCATTACCTTTCTCATTTTTTATTTTATTGTTTTACTAGTGGTTATTCTTTTATTCAATTTACTGTGTTTTGATTGGTGCTTGTACTTCATTCAAAAATAAAACAGTTCTTTTAAGTTATACAAAATATCTATTGGCGTGGATGATAAAATTAATATTTGATATATATGCTAGCCTGGATCAATCGCATGGGGCTAGGCTTATCTAAAGCTACAACTAAAGTTGAAAATTACTCATTTTTTCATTGACTATATAGATTGGCAACCTATTTTGTGTTATTCTTACTATATTTTCTTAAGAGAAAAATCAAATCGACCCCAAAAATTACACTTTTGTTTGTATCCATTCTTTAGAGAGGAAAATCAGATCAACCTCCTAAATTATGCTCATGTTTGTATCCATTTGGAAAGTAAGCTCTTTTAAAAAATATATGGTCAAAGTTTAATCTGTAAATGCAAAATTTAGAAAATGAAACCAAACATTACTAAATTGCCCCAAATTGTTAGAAGAATATTATAAAGCAATATAAAATTATTATTGGACTCTAATATAATATTTTAAGCTTTTGTGTCAAAATGATTTTTTAATATGGTATAAAACCCTTAATAATCAAATGGTTATGAATTCAAATTTCACCACTTACATCTCTAATTAAAAATTAAGCACAAGATAATGATGGATCCATGCAAATTTCAAAACTAAAAAAGCTTTCACTTTAACGATTGTATTAAAGAGTAATATAAAATTATTCTTGAGACTTTATCTAACATATTAAACTTTTAGATTTAGTTGATTCTTAACAATAAATAATAATTTGAAAATTTGAAAATATTTAAGAAATAAAAATTTATTGTCTTTCAAAAAAATAAAAATTTTCAAACATCTTAGAGGAAAAAAAGAAAAGTAAAAATGCTTAGATAAAAAAATTCTAAAAATGCTAAGAAAATTGAATTTTGGAAACTATTTATGGAATAAAATATGAATTTAAAAGAAAACTTAAAATTTTGAAATTTGAAACAAATATTTTAAAAAATATATATGATTTGGTCAGACAATTTTTTTTTTTAAAATCAGCCTCGAAATTATCTTTAAAATGGTCGATTACTATCTTCATTACTTTAAAACATCAATACTTAATTAGTATTGCTATAAAACAAACTTGTATCTTATCTTCATTACCATAAAGATTGAAAAATCTTTAACCATAAGACAAAATCAATCCTCGGTGGAACTTCTTATTTATGCATTATTATTATTAGAAATAAATACTTAATAATTAGAAGGGTTGAGAGCAAGTTCATTAGTGAAAATTTGGAGTCTTCATTAAAGAATGTGCAATTGAGTTATCAATATTATCTACTTCCTCCACATAATTTACGTCTCGTTAAGAGCTACCTAGTAAACATGCATATTGAACTCTTATTCTCTCAACTTAATTGGGTCATGAGAAATAACACACTTGGATATTATGGCAATTTTGACGTTGTGATAAAGGATTTTCTTACACACCATCTCCATTTTCATGGACGATCTCTCCCTTGTTCAACTTGTCACGAAATAAATATCTCAACTTATGATAGTTTTTTGTAGGAATGATTTACACATATATGGTGTTGGAAATAATTTAGATTTCCCTTGTCCTTTTAAGTTGAAAGTTTTTTTCACTCATGCAATGATACACACTTGGTCAGCCATCGAATGGTCTAATAGAACATAGACCATATCTATGATGCAAGGGGAAACTGGTGGTGGATTCACTTCCTATAGTGGTAGCTCAACATTAGCTATTCTTATTCTTTTGTTAGATATTCGATCGTGTAACTAGATTGTGTTCATTAAGGATCATTCTTGGTACCAATGTCTTAATATATTGATTTATTTAAAGATTGATGATGTAAACAACAATGCTTCATATCTAGAGGAAGCTCTTAATGATTCTATACAAGAAAAATCTTATAAAGACCACCTTAAGAGTATTTTAAGATCCATCAAGTGAGTTAATTTTCTGATCCGTTATTTTTAACAAAAGATTACTATTGTTAATTTCTTTCTTTATATGTAATAGCAAATATATTTTCATGTTACCAAATCCATCTAACTAGAATTAAATTATTTCAGTGAACATGGTGTTTTTTATAACTTATTTTTGACCATCCATAAATTTTTATTTTATACAAAAATCTAAAATTTAAAAAAAATTGCATGATGCATAGTTTCTTGATTTTTTTATATGATTTTTAAGTATTTTTATACATTTTTAAGCTTTAAATTCCTTAGGTTATTCCCTAATTTTAATTAAAAATAAAAAGAATACAAAAATAAAAGAGAAAAAGAAGAAAAAAAAAAGTGAAAAAAAAAGCAAAAAAATCAAGGTACAAATTGAAGGAAAAAAAAGGAACCAAAAGAGTTCAATTGAGGGTGCAATAGAAGCTTAGGAAAGGCCAAGGATTAAAAAGAAAAACAAGGAGAAAGTGAGGGATTTGAAAAAAAAATGAACCCAAACCTTATAAATGCCTCTCTTATAGACACACTCTCCCTCACACTCTTCTTCTGCTTCGTTTCATCAAGCACTCTCTCACCTTTAGCTAGAAATTCAATGCCTTTTCCATTGGTAGGCTAAACACCACCATTTCCTGTTGGATTCTAGCCAACCGTCATTAGGTTTTGCCAACCAAAAGTCCAAAAACTACTTAAAAATTCTAGCAATAGCCCATCACCTCTTGATCACCTTTTCAGCTTTAAAACACTCCAAAACTGATATAAAACATTAGAGACTTGCCAAAAAGAATACTAGACAAAACATTTTTATTGCTAACTACCTCCACAAATGGAGGTGGATGACACCACACACATGGATAGATAGAGGAGGTCGAGATCTACGAGGAAAGATATTTCACTCGCTCATAGTGAAAATAGAGAATAGTAACATTGATAGTGGTTATTGGTAAAGAGAGAATGAGAAAAACTTTCAATCAAAATTTCTTTATTATCTATATCCCTCCGCATATGGAGGTGGATAACACCACCTCATGAATGGATAAAGGAGGCTTTGATCTATAAGGTGAGCTATTCCACATGAAAAACTATGATGACCATTTCAAGTTTTGCATTCTCATTTTAGTCGGGCCAATGAGAGGTGGATGACACCACCCTCATGAATAGATAACGGAGGTCTGTGGTTTACAAGGCGAGTTGTTCCATATGAAAAAAACTACGATGACCATTTCAAGTTTTGCATTCTAATTTAAGTCGGGCCAATGAGTTTCTTATTTATCAGGGAAGAATAGTGGTCTCAATATATTTTACATAATAACAAAAGTAATAAAAAATGAATTTTAGAGATATTTTCTCATTTGTATCCAAATTATTTATACCTTTAGCTACTAGGCCATCTCTCGATATGACAATCGTGTCGGGATGCAATTGGATTAGATTCTAAATTGACAAGACTCCCGATTTGAGGGTCCGACGTCAATATAATATGATTCCATAATAAAAAATAAAAAATCAATTTTAGAGACATTTTCTCATCGGATCCAAATTAAATACCCTTAGATAATTAGGTTATTTCTCGACATGCCAATTATGTTAAAATATAATTAGATTCGATGATAAATTGATGAAACTCTCAAGTTTAGGGATCAATGATGTTGGATTAAGAGATGCCACACTTTGTGGAAAACTTAAGCAACAAGCAACAATCAAATAACCACTAGATTGAAACACACTAAGCTAGAAACTAGCCTCAAATAAACCTCAATCAAACCTCAACCAAAACCTAAATCAAGATCAAATCAGAATCTATAAATCCCTCGAAACACAAACACGCTTAAAGCCCTAAATTAACAAACAAATAATAACGGTACCCTAAATTAGGGTAGATGCGTTCAACACTTAAATCAAATAAAAATACCATGAAATGTTTACAAAACCTAGATAATACCTAGAATAAAAAATGAATTTCAAAATTTAAAAAAACTTAAATTTTTGAAATTTGAAACAAATACTAAAAAAATTTGATTTGGTCAAAGAAATATTTTTTTTCAAAAGGATCAACCATCAAAATTTTCTTTAAAAATGTTGGTTACTATCTTTACTTTAAAAAAGCAATAATTAATTGTTATTGCTATAAAAAAAAACTTATATTTTATCTTCATTACCATTTATGATTGAAAAATCTTTAACCATAAGATGAAATCAATCCTCGATAGAGCTTGTTATTTATTTATTATCATTAGAAATAACTATTTAATAATTACGGTGATTGAGAGCAAGTTCACTAATCAAAATTAGGAGTTCTTTAGGAAAGAATGTGCAATTGAGTTATCAACATTATCTACTTCCTCCACCTAATGTATGTCTAGTTTAGAGGTATCTAGTAAACATGCATATCGAACTCTTATTCTCTCAACTCAGTTGGGTCATGAGAAATAACACATTGGGCTATTATGGCAATTTTGATGTCGTGATAAAGGATTTTTTTGCATTCCATCTGCATTGTCAAGGACGATCTTTCCCTTGTTCGACTTGTCATGAAATAAATATCTCAAGTTATGATCTTTTTTTAGGAATGATTTACACATATGTGGTACTAGATATAATTTAGATTTCCCTTATCTTTTTTAGATGAAAGTTTTTTTTCTCTCATGGAATGATACACACATGGTCAACCACCTAATAGTCTAATAGAACATAGACTATATCCATGATGCAAGGGAAATTGGTGGTGGATTCACTTCCTATGGGAGTGGCTCAACATCGATTACTCTTATTCTTTTGTTAGATCCATCGTGTAACTAGATTGCATTCAATGAAGGATCATTCTTGGTACTAATGTTTTAATATATTGATTTATTCAAGGATTGATGATGTAAACAATGATGCTTCATCGCTAGAGGATGCTCTCAATGATTCTATATGAGAAAAATCT